CGGCTAAACATGTCGTCACTGGTGAGATCAGGGAGGGGACCAGAGAAGATTATGGAGTCCCACATTGTTTTGGCAAACTTATACACTGAAGCAACACTAATTTTAGTGACCTCCGATTGACGTAACCGGGCGTCATTAACGCCAGCCTGAATAACATATTGTATTTTACCTTATCCTTAACCAGCAGTTTCAGGTATGATTTGATGTCGCTCTTTCTGGCCTAACTTTTGGCAAACATTTGACTATGTTCCCTGGTGTCTCTAATGCCACGTTTCTGACTAGAGAGCTGCCAATTGCCAATGTGGGCATCCCATTGGGAGCATCACAGAGTGGGTAAAATCAGTTGGAAACGCGAACAGGTTGATGGTGATATCCCAGTGGGCTGAGATCAACGACTTTGCTTTCTGCGTATCATTACCCAATCGCCTGGCTACTCAGGCACTGTTGAAGTACCACTACATGGACCTGTCCCTGGTTTTGGTGGCTCCAGGCTGTTAACAAGTTGGGCTACTCTAACTCTTGAACGTTTGACAGCCCAAAGCCAGGACTGTAACTCTGACACCCTCGCCTCCAAAGCTCCCAAAATACTACATTTATTACACATACCATTATCACTAAAGGAGGCAGAGGAATAACTAAACATGACACAAAGACCAGTGACTGTGACCAGTGTAACTTACAGACTCCCTAGCAGCTCCCAGATCAGCTTCTCTGATTGGTTGATGTGGCACGTCGAGCAGCAAAAGTTAAATTTTTCCAACTCGAGCAGCAGCTGAAATTGTGGCGCGGCGCGCGCCTCAGATGCTCAAACGCTCCTGAAGCGCTGCTTCAGCTGCTCAGACGCACTGCAGCTGCTGTGGGACTATTTGCTGCGCCTTGACGCGCGTCAACCATTGACTTTGCATGGAAACTAGCTGCTCCTGCTGCCTCTGCTGCTTTTGGTGTGAACGTACCATTAGAGAATGGTGTAACTATCGCGGTAAGCAAAGACTGCAGTTGCTTAGGGCCCCCCGACCTCTTAGGGGCCCTGTCACTGAGACCTGATTGGCCCCCTATGCAATTGTGGACCAGGACGTCTCTTTGCAGATGTAATGGTGCGAAAAATTCCTCTTAAACCGACCTGATATTAGGTTAACTGACCGGACCTTATTTATACCCAAACACATGGCCGATTTCAACATGATGGTGAGCCGTTTAAACATGAAAACAATAGCAAAGCAGACAGTGGTACTTTTAATTACTATGCTAATAACTGTTTATAGTTCATTAGACAGTTGGTTAAAAAATATGCTCAAATAATATGTTTCAAACCGCAATAAAGATCTTAAAAGAACATTTGAGCATTTTATTTTTTACAATACGACGTGGAATTATGGGTAATCCAGAGCGTAGATTAAAACCATAAC